TTTCTTTTTAACAAACATGATTCACGTCATATACTTACATTGTGCCACAGCCTGTGATGCCAGCAAAAAAAGAATTACACAATCTAAAGTGAAGTTCATCTTGCTCGGCATCGTAGAATTATTGAATCTTGTAAAATGGTCCCCTCTGCAAAACTGCATTTATGTTGCGAAAAAGGGAAGAAAAGGGAGAATGAGGAAATGAAAAAATAAAAGCGAAACGTCGTCACACCCAGGCGCGTACGCAGGGGGGGGGGGGGTTGAGGGTAAACCCCCCCCCCCTTTTGTATTTTTTATGTGTGTATTTTGGAGGAAACCCCCCCCCCCTCCCCCAACGGAGCAAAATGTCAAATTTTCAAATTTCGAGACCCCCCCCCAAAAAAAAAGTGTCCTCTTACCCCTCCCCCCCCCCCTCCCCTCCCCCCTCTCCTCCCCTATATTCCCCTATAGGAGTAAAGATACATACCATCATACCGAAGAATAAAAGAGAACAGACGGATAGCTTCGACTATTATTTTTTTCTTCAACCTTCACGATAAATATAGCCTAAGGGTGACACGTTTCTATTCTAGTATTAGCAATGGCATGGTCAAATAAATACCATTGAACCATCATAACACATAACTATTGTGAATTTCCACGCTACCGTACACACACACACACACACACACACACACTATATCCGGTCTTACAATTTCCTGATGAATTCTCTTTAGAAGCTCAATGAGTGCCAAAACACATTCGTTAAAGGCGGAAATTTATGAATGTATTTTGTATTTTGTTCATATGAAACGCACACTGCTTTTCGGGTCTCATTCCTTTGCGTTTAACGTGTTTTCCTGACCCTAAACGGGCAATCAATTATTTGTACTAATTTATTTTGTATGAAAATCGAGAAATAAGAGTAAAAAAGGGGAAAAGATTGACATTAATCGGATCAAAAATGTGAAAGTTATGAGTGTTTAGAATGTGAGATCACTAATCTCAAATAGCCAATTTAGTTATTGGATTACAACATAGTCGCGGATTACTCTCCCGTTTGTCCAGTGTACAAAAATACCACAAAAATCAGTTTTCTTAGTAAAGGCCTTCTCCTTTGGGGCACTACTTAATATGTATATTATATATATCATATAATTAAAGCCTACCTAAAAAAATGTTAAACATTTAAACAAAGATGTTTTAGAAAAGTCGACCAAACAAGTTAGGTTTATGCTGTTAGTATCCAAAAGGCAGTTATACAAGGAAATTATTATATCATTTTACGGTTGTGTCCCCCAGTCGTGTGATAGTTCCTTTAAAGGGTGACTAAATTACAACTTCATGTTGATTTTGTTGATCTGTAATAATGTACTGTACTCTTTGATGTAAATTTATGTCATATATTTTATATTATTTTTTATATTACTTTTGTTTTACCTGCTAAGCTCCACCTCTAAAAAAAACCTCCAAAAGCAAATGACTTCTCTGACAGTATCGTTTTATTGACTTTCGTTCTCCTTTTAATCGTGGCAAGTTGGTCCGAGAAAGAGGGTGCGGACAACTAAATGGTGTATGTCCAATATTCACCTGCTGCGGGGGTTAACTTATGGGGCTTTCACATATTCACTCTGGGGCCCGTACGGCGAGTAAAAACAAACATTTTGGGAATTTTCGGCCGGTGTCCGGCCGGTTGCCGTAAAGTTCCTACGGGCGCCGGGACAGTTTTTTAAGCCGTACGGGCGCCGTGGTGCTGAGTTGGCTGCTCCCAATTCTCCCGGCGTTTTTATCCGACCGTTAGGCCGTGTGCGTGTGCGCGTGTCTGACTGCCTTTGACCAATGCACTGTTTAATTCCTCACCCAATAACTTGGCGCAAGTGAGATCTGGCAGTCTTGTAAAGATTGTCTGATATTCAATTTCAATTCAATTTCAATTTAATATTTATTGTCCATTTCTGGATATTTGATTCAGTGATGCATGCAGAGATTCAAATGAAAATGGTAACTAAATGTATTGGGAGGATAACTCTATCAAGATATATCATGAAACCCATGATTAAATATTCATACTTCAAACAATAAAACTTTTAAAAGATGGGACATTTTTTATGACTCGCTTTGTAGTCCAGTGTACCGCACGGCACCCGGCCGGGCGCCTTGAGAACCCCGGCCGGTCCCCGGCAGGGCACCTTCCGGGAGTCATCGGTACACCTGCTCATCGGAAGGAGCCCGTAAGGTAACTGGTCGGCACTCGGCCGGCACCCTGCCGGCACCCTTACGGGCGCCTTGCATTTCACTCGACCAATTTTCTCTGGGCACCTCCCGGGCGCCGCGGAATATGTGACCACACATGCCGTAGAAATGAAAATCGGACGGTTCCCGTACGGTCTCTAAATCCACGGCAAGGCGCCAGGCAGGAAAAATCGTACGGGGTCCGGTTTATATGTGATCTAGGCATTACGCCGACTAGGAAGTCCCCGTCTGAACATGGCTTATAAGCTGACAAACTCTATTCTACAAGATAACTATTTTAGAACTACTGTATGTTTCTTTGTTCTCTCATAAGTCATAACGATTTCCGCTAGAATTGGCTTCAACAATTAGGTACCCAATGCCCTAAGGTTGTTCATACAAATGCTTTGTACATCAGGTTGAATGGGACGACATGTTTTTCCCAACATTTGCATGTGCTTAGTGAAGGCATTGTTTAATAATGTTTCCACTTTTACAAATCTCAGATACATGCCCCTACCTTATCAGTGTCTGTGATATGGTGTTATATTGAAGCCCTACAAAAATAGCGTGTCAAAATGATCAAGAAGTGCGTCAAAAAAGTAAAAGTCTTTCAGTGACCGGTCTTACCATTTTCATTTACCCTAATGGCTGTAGTGTTGTAAAAATCCGTTGGGAAATTGGCTTTTTAAATTCCGAATTCCAATCCTAAATATCTTGATAATCAAACATGCGAGTGGCTTGTAAACGTCATGGGATTCATTTCAGACCTAAATGTTTTGATTATGATTGCAGAATGAGCTAAATCCAAGATTTTGTTTAGAATCAAAGGCAAAGTTATCTAATACCGTTAAGGGCGGGAGAGACATGTAAATCTTTCTTTCCTTAATCAAACAGTTTGACATCACTAGTATCGATACCTTTCCCCCAATCGTGCAAAACTTGCATTCACCAGAATCAGAAATGTCTTAATACTAATTAACAACAACAGATGAAACCGACAAAACAAAGAAACATATAAGGGTAGATTTTTTTTAAAGCCGGTCTGGTTGGTTGTCGGGCTCGTGTGCCGTGGATAATCAATCCCTTGAAACATTGTCAGGAGGCATCGGTCTCACGTGCTGTCGGTCTTGTGGGCCGTTGGTCTAGTGCCGTACTGGACCTTATTGCGAATTTCCTCTTTTCTGTTTTGTCGGTCTCTTGGGCTGTCCGACTCGTGCACAGACGATCTCGTGGCATGTCGGTCTAATGAAAATTAGTGAATGTCGATCTAAGGGTTGCAGATCGCGGGAGCTGTCAATCTAATTGCATGAATCTTGCAGTGTTGACTGGTAGGCTTGCATAAGTAAACCTCAAATTTAAAAGTTTCTCATGAAATAGTCCAGATAACTTTTTAAGGGTTCACTATCAACGGCCCAAGAGCTTGACACCCAACCAGACTGACATGTTTGTGTCTATCTGCCCTCATATATATTAATTTATTTTGTCGTTTTCGTTGGTCAGTTGACATTGAAGTTCATTTAGTGCTATAAAAAATAATAACCACTCTCCTGCAGGACTGGGGGATTTTTAAAAAAGTCATCTCAAACATCCCCTTTAAAGCCCCACTACACTACGTATAGCTAACTGCGCCCTAACTGCGTGCCTGTCGGTCCCCCATGATCTTCTTTTTATTATGTTAATTGAGAGCTGATTTGATGAAATAACCACCAGTCGGTGACCTTGCAGGGAGGTATAACCCCCCCCCCCCCCCCCCCCCCTGGTCAAACTATTACAGACGGGCTTTAACAACCCGTGTTTATACATCATACCTGTCTAATTCTGCTATTGATTCCTTGACATCGCTTTGTGTTAACGCCAATTCTTTATAGCCCGAATTGAATTGTGTTCGTTGAAATCATTGCCTTTACAATTAAAGATTGTATTTCGGATATTCAGCATGAATAGAATGTTTGTGCTTGAAAAGATGAAGTCATCCAGTGTGATTTTGCGATTACCATATTGCAGTTTGCATGGAATTCAGCAATCAAGTACATCGTGGGTATTAAGAATAGCATCTACTGTAGTATACTGACTGTGAAATTTATTAGCACAATAGACCCCCCCCCCCCCCTTCTCGTTAAAGACTATTTTACTAATAGTTTCACAATTAGCAAACTCAAATACATGTACAAACAAATAGACAACGCTTCAAAGCTGAATTTCATGAATAAAAAGAAAAGAAAATGTATATGTTGAAGAAAAAAGCGTATAAAATCACGTACCATAATATACATGACATAATGTCCACGCTCATCTTGAATACAACGCTTTATCCTTGGCCTCTATATCTCTTCCCTTCTAATTCTCTCTCTCTCTCTCTCTACCTCTCTCTCTCTCTCTCTCTATCTCTCTCTCTCTCTCTCTCTCTCTCTCTCTTATTGTCTATTTTTTTCTTTCCCATCCCATCCGTGTATCTTAACGTTTTAATTTGATTTCAACTTCGACCCTAAGCCGGTCGAACAAGAAAGGGAAAGAAGGGGAAAGATGGGAAGAGAAGGGAAGATAGAGAGAGGGGTGAAAGAGGGGAGAGAGAGAGAAAGAGAGAGAGAGAGAGAGAGAGAGATAGGGAGAGAGTACGAAGGAATGAAAGGAACAAAGCCTTGTCCAGAATACTAGACATCTTCAATACGTCTCGCTGCTTAATCAGGTAAACGTCAACGATGCGTTGCATAGCAACCGTCTCTGCCTCTCCTTCTCAGCAGCCGTATACATCGGCACAGCACGATCGCTATTATAGCAGTGTTGGGCGAGCTAAGGAGGAGGCAATCAGCATCTTGGGAACACAGCAAGAAGAAAGAGCATCTCAATCGGAGGCTGTGCATTCACAAGGTCGTGCAACCTATTAAGACGGCATCCATTTACTGGTGAACATTAGCTGGCATACAGGTAGGCATCTAAAATGAAAACCATGGTGGTGATACATAATCTTTAAGTGAGTATTGGTATGCAATTGATGTGTCGTTTTGATGAACATGAGCTAAAGTCTTGTCGTGATTCGTTTGACAAGGGAAATGTGTAGCCAGGAAGCGACATCACATGCTAGTTTATGTGCTCATTATTATTCAATTCATCAGTCTTATGAAATGTTGTACATGTACATAGCACTTGATTAATTATGCTCCACTCACAATCGACATTCATTTTGGTACAAATCTATACAGCAATGCAAGAGAGTTAATTGATGTCAAATGTAGAATTACATTTCTAAAAATAACCATCATGATGTTGATAATCAGACCATAACGTTATTCGATGGAGCATGGTTGAATGGAGTGCTTTTTAGATTGTTCGACAAAATTATATTTTGCATCTAAAAGTTTCCCCTATAATCAATACCACTGTATGAATAAAATTTGTTTTCGTACTGTTATCTTCGTCTGCATTGTCATTATATGTTGATCAATTTTCTCAGCACCATCAGACTGGTTAGAGAATAGAAGTATGACCCAAACCATGTCGAAATAATAAATAGTAGTTACTGGTACAATCAAGTTCAACTCTATCTCATGATTATAGCATATCGTATAGATTTCTTGAAAATGAGGAGGGGGGCCAATTCAATGGTATTTGAAATAAAATGTTCTTGTTACGTAAAAACACATTCTAAGGATCAATTGCAAAAGAAATAGTAAAAATGATTTTACTTGTGCATGCAGTATCGAGGTTAAAGGAATGAAATTACACAATTAATTTTGATACCGTATTGTCTAGATTTTTTTCTCCAATTTGTCTTGCTTTCATGCCATATGACATACCAAATAATAATGATTAAATAAAAGATGGTTGACCGAAAAGGGAAAGGAAGAGGAGCGGGGATATGACATTATTTCGGCCTAAGCGTGTTTTTTCGACGGCTCCTTTACGCGTATAGATCAATAGAGGAGTTCCCTGAATTCAACTCGACTTGAATTGAAACTCTGCAATGTGTTGTTTTTCTCCAGACTTTACGATGATACAAAAACTTCATTGTTTTAGTCAAACAATGACACGCCTTGTGTTACGGGAATTTAACAATGCATTGCTATGTATGGATTGCATAATGCATGACGGTGTATATTAGCGTGTTATGTCCATGATAGAAGTACATGCATACATTAGAGATGAAGAACTACAAAGTGGTTTACAAAATGTCTGCTCTTTCATAGCACTGAGACCGGTATGAGGAAACTTAATCTCGTGTTACCATGCCAACCATTTATTCCACAGTGGAGCCGCCTCACCCGTTTAAGTTGCACACATAGCGGAGTATCCGCGCGTGATGATAATGACGTGAGTGGAGGAAAAAAGAACTCGGACTTAAAATATACACTTTAAAGAGTGTTTTCTTTTAATGGTGTGAAATCCCCTACATGGTACGTCATACATGGACAGTGTTTTGACTCTCTCGAATCTCATCTGAGTTTTCAGTTGTGCTTCTGAATTATTTTTATGACAGTGGTGGTTTAAATTACCTAATCATGATAATCACTTTACCACCCTAGTAAATTCCGTCTTTAGTTTCTAGTTTATTTAAGAACACTATTGTGAAGGAGATTTCGTGGAAACGACGGGGTATTGAAAAGAAATGGACAGAGACAAATCAATTGCTTTCTGTTTTGATTGATCCATTCTGAGTTTTCAGTTGTGATTCTGAATAATTTGTATTACAATAACATTGTCGTTCATATGATAAATGCAATTTAAGAGGCTTTCGTCTCTTGTTCCTTGTTTATTCTGTTATTTGTGAACAATTTCTTTGTGAAGGAGGAATGTGTCATCATTTTTTGTCGATGTCATTCTTTAATATTTTTCCCTCCAACTTGATATGTTACCCATTTTTAGGCTCATGACGTGATTATAGCATTTATGTAGAATATTACAACACGATTGCAACTATTGCAAAAAATCAACATATAAATCATATTCGGATTGTGTAACACGTCATCGTCATGTTTGCACGTTTCCATTGGTGATGTACGAGGATATTTCAATTGCCTGAGGTTGATTTTTAGAAAGTAGTTGACATCGTATTTTACGTGTGTGTTTAAAATAACTCAGCTGGAAGTAATACAAAGTACAATCGAGGTTTGTATTTTGATCAGTCCTTATTAATCCTTCTGTTTGATTAATTCTTGTAGGGCATCATTATGAAGCACTCACCGCTGTGCAGCTATTCGCCCAGCTTCATCTTGGCATATGTATTCATCTCTGGTAAGTGTACAAAACGTCATAACTACACAACCTGACGCCGTTCAACAAACTTAGTATAAATGGCCCACAAAATGGCAATATGTCCAATCACATACAGCGTTTTTTCATACCCAATTTCAGAATATTTTGTTTATTGTTCAATTTCACTAAGAATAATCAGTAGTAATATTGATCAAAATGTTTGATTTATAGGGTGATCAAACGTTGATCCATGCTGCATACTATTTACACAGTATTTCTAAAGTGTCCAAGGGGGCTTATTTCGATGGTTGGCGGGGGCCGGGGCGGCTTTTTTTTTAACCTAGGCAAGCCATCCTATTAATTATCAAAGCGGGTTGGAAAAAGGTCACAACCAATTAGACTTTGGTTATGTTTTGCTTTGCCTCACTTTTTATAAAGGCAAAAATGGGAAGGAATAATTACTGGGATTTGAACCTACTACTCTGAATTATAGTACGCTGACCTTATCGGTTGAGCCATCCAATGGGTTGATAAAAGGTGGGTTTGCATAATAATGTATGATAAAGGAGAAAAAAAGATGCAAAAAAGAAAAAATCAAATCAAATCAAACCCTAATCCTCACCATAACCAAAACCAAAAACCCTAACTAAACCCCAAATGCATGGTACTCAATTCGAGCAACAATTCGTATATAACTATAGCCTACTATCATAAGATGGTACTTTAAGTATATACGATGACCAATAGCATTCAGTATATCATTTACCCCCAAAGAAAGTCCTGATAAAAGTCCTAAGAGGCTAAATCTATCACTTAAAATCAATAGTATCATTATATTCCTATGTGTAATGACCCCGATTGATTTTGTTATATTGTGTTCTTATATTCTGTGGAAAAGACCGTGCATTATTTATTTATTTTCTATCGAAAAGAATAGACGAAACTACATCAGGCAGTCATCCTTGTGGAATACAATAACAGCCGAAATAAAAGCTACAAGGATTTGTAATGACCATGATGATTGTCTCATTTCATTGATTGCACACAGTGTGTGGTATCATCATTTTTTTCGGTTGAATGTGTTTATCCGCTCTGGAAATAATCAATCCTATACGCCCGACTTCAGCCAGTTATAGGAATACCCATGAATGCACCGTCGTATTAGCAAAATAATAGCTCAGACCTTATGAAAGTTTAATTATGTTAATTTTCTCTCTCACGTTTTTCATTATGCAAATGAAGTAGTATGTTTAATCAGTCTTTTTGTTTGGGAATGTGTTCTCTCTCACCCCTGGCCCCTATTTGTTGCCCCTCTCACTCTCTCTCTCTCTCTCTCTCTCTCTTTCTCTGTCTTACTTATCCGTCTCTATATCGCTATCATTTCTATCTCCCAACCCCCCCCCCCCCCTCTCTCTCTCTCTCTCTCTCTCTCTCTCTCTCTCTTTGCAGCCCTGTTAGCCTGTATTTGCCTGGATCCAATGAGTTGCAATGCTCAACAGAGTAAGTATATACATTTGTACGTAACGCTCATTTTCAGCAGTCTGAGGTGCATTTTGCTGTTGATGTTTTGTTTTTCTTTGTCAAATTTTATTATTGTACCTGTGTGAAGTTAAATCCCTAAACTTTTGAAAAGTCCACACGCAGTCTCGTTTCCTACTACCCACTATCTACCAAAATATGAATGTACTGCAAAATACTATAATATGTTTGCTTACATTGTTTCTTTCTTTATTTTGTCATCTAGCCGATGACATGAAAACAACTGATATGATGCCCACGAGTAATGACCACACGATGACAACATCGATAATGATGGATGACAACGATAAGATGATGACGACAATGACGATGGCAACCGATGATCAACACATGATGTCGACATCGCAAATGATGAGCGACGACGATAAGATGATGACGACAATGACGATGACAACCGATGATCATCACATGATGTCGACATCGAAAATGATGAGCGACGACGATCCTGTGATGACGACAACGACGATGGCAACCGATGATCAACACATGATGTCGACATCGAAAATGATGGGCGACGACGATAAGATGATGACGACAATGACGATGACAACCGATGATCAACACATGATGTCGACATCGAAAATGATGAGCGACGACGATCCTATGATGACGACGATGATGACAGCAGCTGAGAAGACCACAAACGATGGCCACATTACGTCCGAAATTACTACCATGGATAGACATCACATGATGACGACAGATATGAATACGAGGATGCATGACATGACGACAGACATGGGATTAGAAAATACATCGCAAACGGATATGAAGCCAACGATGACACCAACGATGAACATGAATATGACTACAGGGATGATGTCCGAGGCTTCTAAAGAACACATGAACGGTAACATAACGTTTGTCTATGGATCAGGGTTCTGTAACACAAAGCGTAGCATATGAACCTAGGAGTGAATTTTGAACGTGGTGATCAATGCAATCTATCGCACAAATCAATCTTACGATCATTGGCTAAGCTTTGCGTTGCGGGGCCCTGGTGTGTCAAAGTAAAGAAAAAATGATCCACTGAGTTAATGTAAGAAATGGCTTAGATAGAGGGGTACGGGAGCACATATCCCCCCCCCACCCCCCACCCAATCGAAGAGCAACACAAAGGAGAGAGAGAGAGGTGCTCAGTGGATTAGCCCATACCATGATGCCATTGTTTATATATTGTTAGTACCAATACGTTTGAAAATTAACGCAAGAAGATACTCATAATTGAACGAGTAATTAGTGTATTAGTGTTGAGTCAAAATCATGTCCTGAAAAATAGTTATTTTCCGATTTACTACTTCATATCTCCTTAATACTATACTCCTTTTCACATTTCTTTGTCAAAAGAATAATTTCAAAAATTCTTTATTTTCGTTCAGTTATGTCGTCATTATCATTGATAATGTTATTATTGAGTTGATTAACAAATGGAATTTAAATGTATCTTTCAGATAGTATGACGACTATGATGAACACAAGTGGTATGATCCATCGCACCACACAACCACAACCAACTATGGCGTCATCAGACATGATGTATACTCCCACAATGCACCATTCATCATCAGTGGTAAGATAGATGTGTAAAGATGTCAACAGATTTTCGTTGCAGTTGTTGTAGTTTTTTTTATACGTTTGGCAAAAAGACAATTTCATACAGTAATATAGGCTTTCCACTACCGACTACTTCCCGGAAGAGAGCTTTCATCAGAAGTGTTGCAGGGTATAACTCTTCACTCCAAAACCCCTGAAAAAAGAACAATTAAGAAAACGAAGATAATGAACAAAAGAACCAAAGAAAAAGAAAAAGAAGAAGAAGAAGAAATCGAGAAAAAATAAAACCAAATATTGCGCTGGAAACTAGTGCCATTGTTTTTAGACGTTTACAAATTGCTCATGTGGATTGAATAAACTTGGTGTAAAGCCACATCTGAAATGCCTTGATGAATTTCCAACCCTTTTCATATCCTTGCCGGACAAACAAGCAAACTTTAGAATTATCATGTATTGTAATATTTGATTTCTTGCCTCGTTGAAATAATTTACTTAAACCTTTTATTGTCCAACCCGCAGATGGCGCTCTCCTGTTTCTCGTGTCAGGCCACATTGAAGACGTCTGATTGTTATGGCATACAGAATGACTCATCGCCCGTTGCTACCTGCGCACCTAATGAGATATGTGGGGTAAGTTGTATGACACCTGACCAGGGGCGGTGATTTCTTTTAATGACCGGGGGGGGGGGGGGGGGACGACATGCGATGTTTACTTGTTCATTTTGAATGATAGTACGCGAGGGAGCGTAGTGACCGAGTGAGATTTGCTTATGCATTTGTATTCGTCTAAACGCTGCACTCTTGGGCCATCCAGCTATACATTTATTTTTGCAGTTTTTTAAAATTTTCCGAGAGGAAGATCCCCTCGCATCCAGTGATCGCCGCCCCTGCACCTCACATTCGTACAGCAGGGTAATATATATATTATAAATAGGATATACATCATTGTATCTTATGTAGATGTAGTACATATATTTGCGCGACATTGTAAACATAAAATGTTGAATTTTTTTACTTATTTGATAGATTCTAAAAATAGAAAATTTATAATCGAACATGATATTCGAATTTGATGAAATAGAGATTGCTTAATTTGTTTAGATTTTTACTACTTCTCTCTCTCTCTCTCTCTCTCTCTCTCTTCTTTTTGCCTCACTCTCTCTTTCTCTCTCTCTCTCTCTCTCTCTCTCCACCCCCTACCCCTTCCACAAAATCATATTTCAACATTTCATCATCCAGTTTTAAAACAATTCATGTTTTATCGATATTCATGTTGTTTTTATAATTAAGGAACAATAATCGGAAAAAAACTCAACGAAGAGTTGTTCGTATTGAAAGTCGTCATCCTTCTTTTTCGTCCCCTGATGAAATTCCCATACCATCTTTAATACACGCTCGCTGACTGGCTTTTGATTCACTTGGGGCGTCATTGAGAACGCCCGTAGATTTGGCAAAAAACCGTTTTGGATTTTAGTACCTCGGCAGTCACTCCGCTGTTACTAAAGTAGCTTCTCGATTTTGCACACGAACCGCAGATTCTTCGTTTGCGTTGAGCTTGCGAAAACACCACATTGAGCTTGTCAAGACGGGACATGCGTCAATTTGTAACGCATTTGTGTTGCACAAAGATCATTCTCCCCTCAATTAATTGGTGCCTATTGTTTTGTGCAAAATTGCAAGTGCGACAAAGGAGCGACTGAGCGGAGAAGCGACAAAGGAGAACTGAAGTTTATTTAATTATCATGTTAATGTTACTATCATCATGAAACAATTATTTCTTCTTTTTCTCCTTCCAGACTGTAATGTATGACCAAGGGTCTGGAACTGACCTCGTTAATGTCTCACGGGTCTGTTTCGCTGAAGATTGTCCCAACACCGAGGTCGATGACATTGCTTGTGAGATGTCTAACGCGCCACATCGCCGCTGTGTTCAGTGCTGCTCGGAACATAGGTGTAACATGCACGTCAACAGCAAGGCAGCGACATCATTCACTCAATCAAAAATGGCGTCGCTTCAAGGTGGCCTTGTGTTACTTGTCTTTGTTTTAATGACTGGATATTTAAGATGTTGAAATATCTAAATACGATGAGAAAGAAAAATCAGCCTTTACCACAATATAATACTGTCAAAAAATTTCCCTGGTAGGTCTACATATTTCCAATGATTGAGTTTGTGTCTTTGGTATGCATCACGTGAATAAGGGTAAGTACAGACTTTTAAGTTTCAGGAAGACTTAATTAAATCACTGTAAAGTCTTTAAAAAAATAACCATAACAAACCAGAAAAACGAGCAAATATTCAAACAGATGTGTATATTAAAGGTTAGTCAATCTGGTTATTTGTGATTTATCTAGACATGGGCACCGTTCTAAGTAAAAACTATTTTCTCCATTGATGATTCAAGTAAAATATTTTGAATTATAAGAAAGTGATGATTAGTCATTTCAGCTAAACCTAAAGACATAAAAACATTTGTATATCATGTTGCCTCATAAGAAAGAAGAATAATATTAGGATGCCTTAGCAAACATTTTTATAAAGTTTCTATTCTTGTATAAATGAGGAGTCAACGTGCAATTTATAAATACAAGGTTATACATGTTAAGATTTGTAATATAATACATGGTGGCCTATGTGTGTATGAGACTATCAGACGATACATTGGGCCCTCTGTCAACAAAAACATGTTTTCAATAACAAGTGTCACATTTCTATGACAGGCTTGCTATTAGCCAATCAAATGCAACCATTTCAGGAGCTTATAAGAATTATTTCAACTTGTTATTGATAACAGGTTTCATGAAACAGGGCCCTAATGATCCTGCTGATGTCAGATCATATGGGCAGATGGTCAATTAGTTCTATTTTCTGTTTTGTTTCGTAGTTTAAGTTATAACTGTTATTCATATAGCCTATATAGATTGTCGTATTACTGTGGTTGTTTTAGTCTGATCATTTTATTTTATTACCAAAATCTGTTTTTGCTTTAGTTATTCATTTAATTGTGAAAAGAAAAATCCTCACCGATATCATTATCATAATCATCATTATCTTCATCGTTTTGTTTGTATTCATTGTGATTTCAGTTATGTTGGCATGTATACAATGATTTTTTTTTTTATTTTTTTTTTTTTTGGGGGGGGGGGGTCAAACATTAAACACATCAGGAGGCTCAGTGGCTTAGTAGTAGAGCAGAGGTCTCGGAACCGGGAGGTGCCGGGTTCGAAACCATGTTGATGCGCCAGTGCCCTTTGGTAAGGCATTAATTCTCATTTCTAAGTCCCTCGGAGAGGACTTAAAGCCGTCCGTCCCCTGGTTGCTTACTTTGAAGCATACACATGCTTTTGTAGCAGTCAGGTAAAATCAAGCAAACATTGTTACCCCACTCGATGCGTACGGTGCTTTATCTTCTTTTTGTCGTATAATTGACGTTCAATTTGAATTTCTCCATGCAAAAATGTTACGCTTTCCTCTGTGCTTTATCAAAGCAAGTGATTCTTCACACATGCCATTGCAGTCTACTTGCTACAGCTCCTTGAATAACGATTTATACCTATCAATATACAATCCTTAGTACATATTTTATTTGGGGGGGGGGGGTAACGTATGTATTCATTGGTTTTATCGCAGTGTGTGATATCTGTGTTAGTATGTTTAGTTAAATCTTAGTATATCTGTGTCCATCTTCGGTGAATAAACAAAATGTATGGTTTGATTTATTTGTTCATGTTTAAACAAACTTGTTTTTCGTCTCCTTCTTAAAGGTACGGAATCGCCAAACGTTATGCATATGTGCACTATGACCATGTTCGTATTTAGATGAGAGAGGGGGTATGAAAGCAGGCATACAGAGGAAATAAGAGAACAAGAAAGAGAGAAAGACGTTGAAATAACGAGGGAAAGATATCATATTAGAGAGATACCTGTAAACAATGAAACCGGCAGAGAGAGAGAGAGAGAGAGAGAGCGGGGGAGAGGCATAGAGAGAGACAGATGTAGAGACATGTAAACATGATAAAAGTTGAACAACCACATATATCCATAAAAACAACTCCATTTCAAACTGGAGAGAAAGAGAGAAAGACGGGGACAGACAGACAGAGACAGCGAGAGAGAAAGGAGAGAGATACAGAGAAATAGAGAGAGAGAGAGAGAGAGAGAGAGAGAGAGAGAGAGAGAAACAGACAGACAGAGAAAGAGAAAGGGAGAGAGAACAAGAAAGAAATTAGAAAAGACAAACGGACAGACAGACAGGCAGACATAATTAAGCAGATACATAAAATTGATGTATTCATATAAGGAAAACACACTTTGTATCAAAACAACTCCATTTCAAAATGCTAGAATTTCAGCTCAAAATTGTAAATGTTTGTGAATTTGGCGCCTCTGGCAAAGTAAGGGATCAATGTAATGATATTTCAACAACATAGTGCAAAATGGTTCCATTCAATGACGATATGCTATTTACACTAGCACAATGGATATCTAATGGGGCATATTTCAATTCAAAAGATTTTAGCAGTTGGGGAAGGATTTTAAGGATTTGTTTTGGCTGTCGTCCCGAGCAATCAACGGCACTATGGTTTATTGACGCGGTTATCACTTCTTGCTCTCTTATGCTTGTACTATCTTTTGTCTTCACGTTAAAACGCAGTACGAAGAAATGTGTCTGTAGGTTTAAACGCGTCTATGCTGAGTCCTATTAAACAGAGGATGTCATCCCATGGTTTTTGAATATCCAAAATCTTACATTATTAATAAAAAAGAGATCAATATGATTCATGAAAATTTCTGTCATCATACCCTTACCTTATCGCTTCTCCTATCTTTATCCACTATCTGTCTATCTCTCTCTCTCTCTCTCTCTCTCTCTCCTTTATTTCAATTTGATTTCCTCTGTGTCTCATGTTTGCGTGCGTGTGCGTGTTTGTTTTTTTCGCTACTTTTACAGCTTTCTCCCTCTCTTTCCCCTCCGCCCCCGCCCCTTCTCTCTCTCTCTCTCTCTCTCTCTCTCTCTCTCTCTCTCCCTCTCTCTTTATTTCGCTTTCTTCCTTCTCAGGGATAGAACAATAATGAAAAAGGGCCAAGGAAGAAAAAGGGATTGTAGAGAAGGGAAAAAGAGAGAGAGAGAGAGAGGGGGGGGGGGGAGAGAAGGGAAGATATGTGGGGTGTGAGAGAGCGAGAGAGAGGAAAAGGGACTAGAGGGAAATAATGGATCCGTGTAAGGTTGTGTGGGCGTAGAAGGAGTAGGATAATTAGTATCCGGACACAATGATGAAGGCTATTGGACGTGACATCTCTCCGGTTTGATATAGAGTCCTTGTTTCACGCGTTGATGAGAGTGTACATGTTTCCTTCCCCCTCTCTCCTTTATTTTGCCTTGTCTTTTCTCATAATTATCTCGCTCTCTATCTCCCTCTCTCACCCCTCCCCCCCCCCCCCATCTCTCTCTATCTCTCTGTCTCTCTCTCTCTCTCTCTCTCTCTCTTTCTTTATTGATCGATCTTCCTTATATTTTCCTTTTTATCACCCGTATATTTCGTTTTCTTATATTAAATCTGTGTCCATTCATGTTACACTTTTTATTTGTTTTCCTGTGGTGTGTGCGTGTGTGCGCGCGTGTGTATATCATTTACTGACATTTTCTACCAGAAATGTTCTACTATATCACCTTTTTCTCCTTCTCAGTTTGCTCTGTCTCTGTCTCTCTGTCTGTCTCTATCTCTCTCCCTCTCTCTCTCTCTCTCTCTCTCTCTCTCTCTTGCTTCGTGTGTGTATGTTTCCCTACATCCCCTCTCTCTCTACTACATAAACAATGACGCCCCTGTTGTGTCTCTCGGTCACATTATTCATCTGTAATACAGCGTGACGATATCACGCTACTCTTAATCGATTGCTTTTGTCATGTTTATCCTATAGATCCTTCAAATAAAGTGTAAAATATGTAATGTTTTATCAATTTACGCACCAGTGTCTAGTTTGGATGACAGTGTCTTCTTCGCATGATATTAAAGAGGTAAACTATAAATCGTAGACACACCATCTTTGCACTGTACATGTAGGTACTAAAACTAAAGACTGCCTGTAATGATAACACGATAGTTCATCTTCCAAAGTCAAACAATTGCACACCAGGCCACCGTTGCATTAAACTTAACACTGATACTAACTTTGTCATCAATGTCAACTACTATGGCAACATCGCTCCATAGCCAATCAAATCAAGATTTTCATGGAAGTTACCATTGATGGTAAAGTTACCATCAATGGTAAGTTTTATGCAACGAGGTCCAGGGCATCGTTTCATGAAACTGTCATAGGTTCACCGCCATCTCGTTGGAACACGTGTAAAATTAAATACAGGCATTTTATTTGGTTTTCGGCGAACTGGTATTCATGACGTTTTCGTTAAAAAAATTGCCCTTTTTTATTGCTGGTTTGTTTCATGTTGTTTTTACGTTGTTGTTTATAGTAAAAATGATTCACTTTTCCACGTTATTTTGTCGATCGCCGAGCCGTTAGTCTCCTATGATGTCCCCATAGTCATGATAAAAGCACGTTCTAAATGTACTGTTATACATGTTTCTGATCTCCTTCTAAAACTGATCGGGTGGGGGGGGGGCAAATAATTATATGAAAAATGCGAATATCCTTCTTCTTGTTCTCTCTCTCTCTCTCTCTCTCTCTCTCTCTCTCTCTCTCTCTCTCTCTCTCTCTCATTATCCCCCCTTTTTCGAGAAGGGAATTTAAAATTGGCTGTGTGGCTACCACATCTTCTTCGTTGTAAGCAATGTTGTAAGCAAATTAGGGCAGAGTAAAAGGGCATTTCATTTCACATTCTTATTTTGTGGGATTTATGAGTATCAACAACCATATATGATAACATAAACAGAAACATTAAGCGCTGATAATGATCGCAATGCAGAAGCCCCCAACAATACAGTACGGTGGATGTCATTACCGGATCGATATCCGAATAAAGGTAACTACTTTTGTTTGTTTTAAAAATGTATCTGTAGAATCCTTCTTCAAAGGTGACGAAAATGATGCTGACACTTTGCTCTTCGACTTCGAAGTGCACTTTCTTCCTGCACGGGATAAATTTGGCGTTAGGGTGGAGAGATCTTAAGTGCACATCGCAGGCTTTTCAGTAGTGATAAAATCACTCGGGGAAAATCAAATCGTTTTATGCTACTCATGCAAAAGATAGAATAGATCCAAATGGGTATTTTCATAGGGAAAGAAAACTATCATCAGACCGAGGGCTTTATCTGTGAGGGGAAGAGGGATTTGAAAAAGACCTTCGGCGGAAATGGGTGAAAACACGTAAATATGTCACGAGTCACGTATATCATTTTACTGTACTTCTATCGTTTCCTAACATTATTATATTCTTATTTTACATAAAGTTTGAGATGTTCATGCATATCATGAAGCCTTCTCTTGAGACTTCCATAAATTTGTTAACA